ATCTTTCGACGGGGATCGAAGAAGTGCGTCTTACAATCAACAACTTGGTTGAGGATTTGCAGACGAACCGTGACGCCAGCAACCGGGGCGTGTGCGGTGGAGTACACGGAGGACGTGGAGGCCATGGTCTAGGCGGGGCGCCCCGCCGGAGATCTCCACAACCACCGTCCGGCGACGAAGACGGCGAGGATACCATCTCGGAGGTGAATCCCTTCGGTGAGTGGCAACCTCCGCACGTCGAGGCTGACCCCTTCGCTGCATACGGCAGTCGTGACATGCGGCGACAGGACCCAGTCTTCGTGGACGACGACGATCAACGCTGCGATAGGGGCTGGCGCGAGGAGGCAACCTTCGCTGGCGGATATCGTGCCCGACACGATTGGAGACTTGATGGCGAATATGGTCAATGGAAGGGCCTGTTTCGCGTTGAAATCCCCGAATTTGACGAAGAGCAAGTTGACGGGCCATTGTACAATGGTCCACCGATGTTTGATGAAGAACCCGAGGAGGTGAAGGAGCGTCTTACCTGTGAAATTGACAGTCTCTATGACGGTGCGCCGATTTTTGATGAGGAGCCTCCGGGGCTGGAGGAATTCCATCATTTTTCGGGTATCGAAATTCAGTTGTTGGATGAATTGGTAGTTCATCTATTGCGCAGGCCTGAGCTTTTCTTCCACGGGAATTTGTTGCGACCTTGCAAACAAATGATATTTTTTTATTCCCACGGTGACTTCAAAATTACTGCATATATGTCTTTCCATGAATTTCAAGGAGGTGTTACCATGGAGGTGCGACATTCAACTTTCGTGTTCGACCGAGGAAAACAACGGGGGTTTTCCACCATGGGTTGACACCACACGCCGGCCACGGGTGCGCATCGGCTTCGAGGGCGAAGCCTTCCGAACCGGAGGAGAATGGTGTAGATTAATATAGATTATTATTATTATTATTATTATTATTATTAGTATTATTATTATTATTATTATTATTATTATTATTTAATAAGTGTCTTAGAGGATAAGTTATGTTTAGGATTATGAGCCTTATATAATGGACTCCCTCTAGTTTATTGTAATGAGTTGATAGTTGAGAATGAAATAAAAATTGATTTCGCATTTGGGTGTTCTTGAGATTGCGATCTCATTAATATCGTCTCACTCGTACGCTTCTCTACATCAGTTTGTCTGTCAAAAAACACTTTGGCTATTTACTTATTTTTTATTTTTTATTTTTTTTTTTAAATTCATAATGGTCGCCAAGACGTGATATTAAAAAACTATGGTAAGGAGTTTGATGTCGCTTAAACAAGGTCTCAGGTTCGAGTCCTTGTGGATGCAGAAAACTTTTGTTGGGAGACTCACCCACCACTGCCAAGTATGCGACTCGGGTTGACTATCGGAATAGTCAGGGCATAACTCTGGATACCGTGGCTGGCTACCAAAAAAAATTCATGATTAATCCAATAGATTTTGGCTTTTTTTTTTTTTTTTTGGATTGAAAGTCTCAATCCCTCGACTTTTAATCTTCACACTAACTTCACACTTAAGTTAAAATTCCGCAATAGAAATAGAAGGTTCCAGTAAATTACGGAAAAAGGGTAAATATAAATTAGTACCATGATGTATATATTTCATCACTAATTCTCACTTTAGACCAAACAACAGGTAGAATGAAATTTTACCAACGACAGTCTTCATGTAATAATATTCTCGTGAGTAATTGTAACGGGGAGTGCTACAGTCACGTTACGGAACCATCCCATCGTGAGTTTTAACCGTATAAGATAGATGATCTAACGGTTAAAACTCCCGACGGGATGGTTCCATAACTGACAGGGACGTAGCTAGAATTTTTTTTAACTCGAGGCTGCATCTTATTGTAGCTATTATTGGAACCTAGTAGACATGCACATGGGCGGATCCAGCCTGTCGGTTCGGCCCGAACCGACACAAACCGACCCGTTGACCATGGGTCTTGAACCGACCCGTGGTTTTGACCAGTTCGGTTCATGTACAATACTTTATAGTTTATACATTTTTTAACATGCAGTTTCGTTTCCGAACTGGAACCGGAACCTGAGGATCGACCTTTTATTTAAAAGAATATTTTTCTTAATTTCTTTTATGAACCGGATGACCAATAACTGACAGTTTAATGAATCGGCCAGTACATATGCTCGCGTTGTTTCATGGTCCTCCAACTCTCGGCCCGGTGCAGTTTCGACCTGTAACCGGTTTCATCATGATTATAACCAAATTATTTGTTAACATATGTCGGTTTGAATTGGAAAAACTAAATCTTGAATCGCTTATATATTTAAACAAGTCAACTCAAATAGCTAATCAAACTTGTCAATCAAACATATAGAGTCAAACATGTTTGCAATCAACTCTGTACGAGTTTTCTCTTTGTCTAAGAATTGAAGTCATATTAATTATTGGAAGTGAAATAAAAAAAAAAAAAGAAAAAGGATAACAGATTGTGGAATGAGAGGAACCCAATTAAATAGCCCGTTGGAGAAGTCTCTGTCAAACTTAATTATCTAGCTTATTTGATATTTGTAAGTCAACTCATTAAAAATTTAAAAAGCAAGGGCGTGTTGGGCCACATTATAAACCCAATTGAAGTCTGTGTCAAGCTTAATTGTACAGCTCATTTGATATTTGTCAAGTCAACCCATTAAAAATTTAAAAGGCAAGAGTGTGTTGTACCACATTATAAACCCAATTGATAAAAATCTAGTAAGGTCACAATTGTCTTTAACAATAAAGGATTATCTTTTTTTTCTCTAATTACAATCATGTATTTTTACACCATTGTTGTCAGATAAAAAGTTTCGAACTGAATCTTGATGCATTCAGCTCAAAAATTTAATGCGGCTACATTAAAAGTTGCATGAGCCTAACGAGTCTATGTATAAATTTTTTTAAAACAATAAGTGAGCAAAAAAGAAAAAAAAAAAATCTTTTGGAAACGGGATCATAGTATTTCCCTAATTGTAACACTTAATAAGACCAATAAATCCCAAAAATTTAGCAAGGATCATGAGTATTTAAGGTTGACTTATGTCATTTGGTGTCGGGTACGATGAATGGACACGATTCAACATCGTGATGGATTTTTCAGTTGCAAAATGTTTATTAATTTCTTTAGAAAATTTACATATTAATTTAATTCACATATTTTTTTGTTAAAATGTTTTTTCAACGGTTGATCATCATCCATATAATTTATTTATTTTATCTAATTTTATATCAATATACTATTTTATTTTTATTCTTCCTAAAATCATCTTGATTCCTTGAATGGAGTGCAGGCATGATTTTATGTCTCGTGATTATTCCATCTTGTTTGATTTTATTTTATTTTATTATTATTATTATTATTATTTTTTTTTTTTCTTAAATCAGTGCCTCAGTCTCACATTCAAACATGCAATGAGTTTATCATTAAAGATACTAGGTAATTATTAATTATCAACTGTCCATTTACACTATTCTCCATTTTTTCATTTTTAATTTATCCTAATCTCCCACTTATAAAAAGTTAAAACATATTGGACTGGAGCAATTTATATATTTATTGATAAAAAAATAATAACTGGACAAAAAAAAACAAAAAAGGAGGATAGTGGACCAACATAAAAAACTCGTATTCCGTGAATACATTTTCTGTATAATTTAATCAAAAAACGTATTCACTAAATACGATTTTTACATTTTTTTAATAAAGAAAAACGTGTTCCGTGAATACGTTTTACAATTAAAATGTGCAGAAAACGTATTCACGGAATACGTGCTTTTCATTTATTTCCACCCACTTTTTTCTTTTTTTTTTTTGTCCACTACTATTTTTTTTTTTCGGTAAAAAATTCTATTGGACTGACATATATGCCGCAATCTATACATAGTATTAGCGTAGACCCATTAGCATTATACAGAACTATATGTTATACGAAAAGAAAAGAGATATTCTCGCCTCGACTATACTTTCCCGCTTTCAATTGTATTGTATTTATATTGTAAAAACTGAAAAACTCAATAGATTTTCGGTTAATTCAACACATTTTGCAACAATGTTTACTTTTTAGTACATATTTTGGAGTTTGTTTACAATAACTTTAACGTCTTTGTTAATATGGCCGCCGAATCGACTGAGAGATTTTAAATTGGGCCGATCGGCCCAAATCAGCGGCGTTTTGACAGGGGCCGCTATGTACACTGGCAGGAAAATGTTCACTTACCCACTGTTTGTATATGATATGTTAGGGCATGCTTGTTTATAGATTTTTTCAATCCAATTTTTTCAACTCAAATATTTAACTCAACTTTAACTCAACCCCACTATCTTTAATATTATTCATACAATTAAATAATAAAAACCAATCATTCTGACATATCACATCAACTTTAATTCACTATTCATTCACTCACATAATTTTAACTCCAATAATTTCCAATCATTTATCTCCTACTTTATATCAAATCAACTTTAATCATTTTTATTTTAAATATTATTTTAATATATTTTTTAAATTCCACTAACAATAAACCACATTACTTTTTCAACTTTAACTATAGTTAACAAAATGAAATATTTTGGTTGAAAAAATTCATAAACAAGCGCCCCCTTAATATCCTGCCACATCAGTTGATGTAGCTGATGAACATATTATCTCGTGTCCACCATGAACGGACAAATACACATGAAACCCATATAAAATATTTTAACAAATAAACATGAAATGAAAATTTCACATGGAATATATGCTGTGGGAAGTAAAGTCGAGGGTAACAAGGCACAACACAGGACCCAAATTTTGACCCACAAAAACATTTGTTTCACAAATTTACAAAGAATAATCAGGGTGTACTACAATAGGCATAAGGGCTCGTCAACCCAAAAGCTGTAATGACAAATGTTTCTACATATGCGTATACACAAGAATCGGTTGAGGGAGTTTTGTACGTACAAAACCATATGCAACATAGATGCGTTCATCACCGGCATAACCGAGCACATAATCCCTGAATTTGATTTTCGTTCAGATTGAAAAGTGAATAAGTCTGGTTCCTACCGTTGTTGGAGCACGTCAAAATATATTGGCCCCCTGTTTGCACAGCCTGCAATAATATTTTTTTTTCCGACATATTCATAACAAAACATAGGTGGGAATATGAATGTGACTTATGAATAATGTGATACAACTCCAAATTTGATGCACTAACGGAACTTATGTGAAGATACTTGGGGTATGGGTTACATACAGTACTTCATGTGACTGAGGCTATGTTTGGTTTGGCAGGACGAGCTTATCTCATAAGCTTCTTTAGACAGCTTTTCAAATAAGTTCGTTGAAATTTTTATTTCAACTAGCTTATCAGCTAATTTTACTAAATATTTTTATCACATAAGCTAGTTTCAACTATAAACTATAAGCTCGGAAATAAAAAAATAAACTATAAGCTAGCTTATTAGCTATCAGCCAGTTTTACAAAAAACATAGAGAGTAATGAGAGTTTTAATATTTTTTTTTAATCTTTTAGTCGCTAGCATGAAAAATGAGTAAGGTTGATGTAGAAAAATGTTGCACCTGACAAGAAACAGGTTGTGTGTTGCAGCTCCATCTTGAAGTCGGGACGCAACTTAGATAATGGCACCACGAACAATGATTGTTCAAATCCACCCCCCGAAGTAGCAAGATCAACCCAACCGTGAACCTAAATCGATAATCAAGTATAAAATTGAAGAAAGTGATAATTTAGTTATGATGATCAAAATCGAAGAAAGTGATAACTAAAGCCCTCACAAAACAGTGGTCTCTACCAAAATCGCGCAGTTTCATGGTGGGCAAGCTTTACGAATTTATCTGAGGTTTAGATAACCACGAAAGATCCTAAACTTAAAAGTCTCCCTCAAATGTTAATGTGACTTATTTTTGTAAAAGGCAAAAATGCATTTTGGTCGTGTTGGTTTAACGCCACAACAATTTTAATCCTAAGCCTCCAACTTTTTGCCTTAAAGTCTTGTGATTTAATATTTTGCTGCAATTTTAGTACTAAAAATATATAAATTTGGAAATTTGTTGCAATTTCAGTCATGTGTATGTTGAGACTAAAATTGCTATGGCGTTCAGGATTAATAATGCAATTCAGCCTTTTGTAAATGAACCTCTCAAGGGCGTCTATTGTAATTAGTCCCAAACACCAGAGAAGTAGCTTGTGAATAACTAACTGCTAAAAGGCAAAAAAATAACAGAAACTGTTATCAAGGTAATTTAAGCTCACCCGGCAACTAGAAGAATCAAAGAAAGCAGCCAGAGCACGCGTTGGTAGGCCTTGAATTTGGGCTTACCCGAAATAGTGGTATAACCAGCAAGGGCATACCTCTGGTTGGCCCATCCAAATTGTGGGCGGATCAAAAAAACGAAGCCCAAAAGAAATCCCGATAAAAACCCACCAATATGAGCAAAGTTATCCACATGTGGAAGTATTCCCACAGCCAAGTTTATAGCTATTATTATCACGAGTGTGAATAAAGCAGCTACCTGAAAAAAGATTTATGCAGTCTGAATTTGAAATTGTGACACATGAAAAAGCGGTCGATATATATATAGACAGATAGCTTAGATTTTACCTTGTTAGCATATATGGACCAATTAGTTATCAACTCGGACAGCATGCCTCCTAATAAGCCGAAAAGGGCACCAGAGGCACCTACTGATATGTTTGATTGAATGAAAAGAGCCGAAAATAAACTTCCGCCAAATCCAGAAATGAGATAGAGCAAGCCGACGCGTACTGTACAACAACTCGCAGTCATATTGGTAAGTGTACCAAAATCAGAATTGTAATTAAAGGGGGAAAAAATGGGGCTATTTTTTAAGAAAAACGAGAAAAAATATAGAGTGTTGCATTTGATGGATGAATTTCATATAAATCTCACTCTCGAGTCTTGGCCCCAATATATACACAAAAGGACAGTCAAGTTTCCAATGCCCAAATGAGCGCGCGTAAAATACAAAAATAAAATATAATTTAATACACAAGAGCATATCAAATTTATATTGAGAACAAGCAGAGCCGATAAAACAAATTTAACAGATGAACAACAACAATTATCGGCTTTAAGTATAAATCCTACAAAAATCGATAACAACATCATGATAATAGTCAAAAAAGGTGCATGCGTAAGTCTTGTTAGAGTCACCTAAAAGGAAATTGGATCATTTTCCTAAAGCCGACGAGTTTTTGACAAAAGGAAAATCAAAAGCCTGCCATACGGAAGTCGGTCGTATTCTTCATAAAAAATTATAGATAAATAACCGAGACATGTTCTCGGCTTGTGAACATAATACAAGATCAGGATAATCTAACCATTTCATGATTAAACTTTTGAATAGAGTTAACAAACTACATCACGTAATGGGACGAGTGCTAAAACGTACCAAATCCAAACTCCTGTTCGAGCCGAATGCCGATGATAATCAAGCTCAACATATTCGCGAGTAAGTGAAACACTCCACCATGTAACCACATACACGTGATGAGCCGCCATCCTTCGTGTCGATCGACAACTCTACCCACATCCAAAGCTCCCATTCTCTCGAGTCTAAAGATGAAACAAACGAATACCAAATATCGTTGATTGTTGCCAAAATAGGATACTACTTTTTTCCATAACAATCTACCAAGATTATCACACCTAAAACAAACAAGCAATTGACCAGGCCAAAACACAGCAGTACTGATAAAAATGATTACTAAACAATCAAACAGATAATAACATAGTTAAAAAAAAAAAAAAAACAATTGGAACAAGAAAATCAGATAGAAATTAACAACATAAAAGTCAACAGGATGAAAAGCCCAAAAGCACAAAAAGAAACGGGCTTACGTCAAAGATGAAGGCCCGAGCAGAGGATTTTCCCCAAAGGGCTGAAAAGACAGCCTCCCCAAGAATCTAGCGACGCACGAGACAGAATTTTTCGGACAATCGTTCACATACATAGTAATCACAAACATAACCACGTTGGCCACCACGAAGGCGGGTAACAGCCAGGGGAACCACTTCCCGGAAGGCTTGGCCTCTCTGTACACAACCCCGCCGGGGCTCGCGACGGCGGACGGAGGAGATACGTGGTGGACGGTGTTTCCGCCGCTCAGAGAGTGGACCGGCAATCGGGCGTCGTCTGGCGCGGCGGTGGCCATCGGAGGTGCGAGGATGACGGAGGAGAAAAAGATTGCTTTTTTTATGAGTTTGAGATTATTTGAGGAAAAGGGCAAGCTGAATAATGGTTTTAGAGAAAAGGGTTTGGTTGGGGTAGTTGAAGATATAGGGGATTAGGTCAATATTGAGAGGAGCTCTGTGTGAAACCATGGCGGAGCAGAGATTTTTCGTATTTTTTGCTTTTTTTTTTTAGTTCTTTTTTCTATGCTTACTTTTTCTCGACTGACTTTGACAGAGAAAAAAAAAAAAAAATCTTAAATTTTAGGTGATTTGATGGTTAAATTCCAGGAGGCATGTGAAAGTGAAGCTCGCAAGTCCGACACACATTGTTTGATAATAAATTGAGTTTGAACTCATTTAAAACTTGTTAGTAGCGAATTAGGTTGGACACCGCTCGATAGTGTTTGAAAAGTAATTTGCATATAATTTTTTATAGTTTGCTCATAAGCTTCGAGTCCAACTTGTTAACATTAATAAACGAGTTGAACAATGAACTCGTTTAGTTAACAAACCCTTGTTAACATTAATAAACGAGTTGAACAATGAACTCGTTTAGTTAACGAACCTAATTCGATTTGCTTCGTTAAGAGTTCGAGATTGAACTCGGCTCAATTCTTTACACCCCTAACACTTCCCTCAGGGTAGAATTATACCTTCTCATTTTCGTGTCCGCATCCTACCAAATTAAAGTATGTGTATGAATCGTTGGATTAATACAAATATGACAACTCATAATTTAGTTATGCAGAGCCGGTTCTGGCCTTTGTTGGGCCCTAGGCAAAATATGAAAAATAATGTCTTTTTTTTTTTTTTGCGTTCACAATTATGAAATTTATATAAATCTCAAGCTGCATAATAAAATTTTAGTAAATACGTTGTTTCGAGCTACTGAGTTAATTATATAACTTAATATAATTTAAAGATGAAGCGTGATTTTGGAATTAATGCATGATATAACTTTTATGAGATAAACATGATTTTTTATATGTATATAACTATGTTACCAAACTAAGGTTACTTAGTTGCAAGACGGTAAAAAAAAAAAAAAAAAAAAAAAAAAAAAAAAAAAAATGGACCTCATCATAAGTATGAACATCATTATTTTACATAAAAATTATATAATTATGTATAAGTAAAATATTTCACTTATTTAAATCCTTAGTGGATAAATTTAAGTCTTCTATTATTTTATTGCATTTATTGAATACAACACATACTATTTTATACTTTATTACCCAGTGGAATGCCTTTTTAGTTAGATGAGATATTAATTGAATGGAATAAATAGAGATTATAATACGCAAGCCAATAAGCAACAATAAAATATTTTAATTATTGTTAATGAAATTCTCTAATATTTGTGGAAAAGCAAGCAATATTTGTATTATTTTAGTGGCTTTATACAATAAGCATTTAGTACATGGAATATGAAATTGAGCTAATGGTATGTATTGGGCCTACAAATTAGTAAATAATAAAAAGAGGAAATTGCATCCTGCACGATACATACAATTTTTTATTATATAAATAATATTCCCTTATAACTATTAGCAAATTGACTAAATCTACATATTTTATTTGCAAAACGATAATTGGCTATAAGATAGGAAAGTAACTCAATCTTTATTTGTTCACATCTTTTTCTCTTTCTTCTTCACATGTTTATCCCTCCATATCTTATTTGTTCTTGTTCTCTATTTTCTTTCGTTCTCCATCACATACACGCACCACGCCCACGGTGATGAAGAGTAGTTGGAATCGCTTGACAACGATGAGAAGTGACGACCAATTGACCATAGCATACCAGTAGATCTAAGAATTTAGATCTAAACAATTCTGTTGTTACCTAATTTTGGCCTCGTCTATTAAAACATTACACGTGGATATACATATTAAAATAAATATAAAATAGCAGGTTCTTTTATATGTTTAATATTGATCGAGTTCCCAGAAGACAAGGTCCGTATTCAAAGACCACCAGCTCGACCCTGATATCCCAAAGAAGCCGCTTATACAGACACGTCAATTGCTGACAAGACAAATACCAGTCGGAGTACCAGTCAATTTGTCAGTCAACCCAAATATTTATTAATTGGGCCCTGCGTGGTCATGTTTATTAATTGGGCCCTGCGTGGTCATATATATTATTGGGCCCTGCGCGGTCATATTTATTATTGGGCCCTGCGCGGTCATATTTTATTGTACAAGCCCATTAATATACGGGCCGATATTAGCCCAGCTATAAATAGGGGCTAAAGAGATAGAGATGAGACTTTTAATTTTTCCCTTATCAGGAATCACAAGGCACCGCCTCAAGAAGGATCCTGATCCTCTTTTCCATTCAATAACAAGTATTCCATGACAAGAAATAGAAGAGACAGTTCCTATCTTCTTAAAATTTCTTTTACTCTCTGCATTCAATTCTTGATCTGATATATACAAAACATATCAAAAATCACACAAAAAGGGATAGATATTCATCTCCCAAATATCATCAAACACTCATGTTCATCCTACATCGACTATTCACGGAATAGGGGTGTACATTTTATGTTGTTACAAATTCATTTAACAACAAATTCAATCGATCAAAAAATCCAAATTCCATGCATCTTCTTCCTTTCTTTTCTTTTCTTTTTTTTTTCCTCCCCGAAGCCTGGTCTTTTTTCTTCAAACTGGGATATTAAACTCTCCAGGAACGATTTTTTGCTTTTGGGGATATTAAAAATTTCATACAATGATTTTCGAAGATTGATGGTCGAGATGGAGGACGCGCGGGAAGTGGAATGTGGATGCGTGGATTAGGAGTTTCTGGACCTTTTCAATAGAATTATTGATGAGATGATATTTATGTATCGTAAACTCATGAACGTCGATATATGTTGTGGGTATAATATGCAGTATATGTGTTCATCGGCAATGTGCTTCGTATGTTTCTGATCCGGCCCGTTCTTCATTTGTTATCATATACTCTACATATACTAAAATAATTTATTAAAATAATAATTATTATCAGTCTATGATATGTATATGATAAGTTATACTGAACAAAAATTCAAACATCACACTTATAGTTAGATAAAAAATGTTATGCAAATAAAAATCAGGTTATATACTGAATATATACTAACTATAAACACAATATATACTGTCTATTCAAAATCGGCTGCAATTTTGTAGTTGTTTTCATGACAGTATATGTGATGTTTATATACTGTATATAGAACATAAACAACGCATGCCTAATCGTGTAGCTTCAAAATTCTATATCTTTTAATTTTGAATGGAACAATATCCTAGATATTAGAATATATACACTTACAATATATTTTGACTTTTTTTTTCCAACGAAAACGACAAACTATTACTCCCGCAATTTGAGGAGAACTGATTTTTTTTTTTTTTTGCAAGTTCTATAAAGGCGGACTGGCAGTTACATAATCTGATTTAATTAAGGTAACTGATATTTTTGCTTTGGCCAATTAAGTTTACTTAAATAGGTAGGAACGCAAATAATATCTCACCCTTGACACAAACGCAAAAACTTTAAAATCACGTCGTAAACTTAAAAATTCGCCTAATAAAAATCCCTTTTGAATTGGGCCCTCATATGTTTGAATTAATTGTATATACTAGGCCTACAAAAATCCATTTTAGGCATATATACAAATATATTTAACAAATTTAATTAATTTGTAAATAATTATATAGGGGATGTAATTATGTAATATTTTCAGATTGTTTAAGTGGAGCGTGCAAATTCATCTTTTATAATCGAGCTTCGTGGAGTGGGTTTTACTTATTTGAGGGGAAAAATACAAACTAACCACCTATTAAAAAAACATTCCATAAAACAAATCACTGTATATTATCTATGAAAAAAATCATCCATTGACAGAAGTTGCAGTAATGAAATTAACAACTAACCAAGTCAACAGTTTCATAGGTTATGGCACACATTAAGCCACATCAAACTGAGAAACACAAAAGAGCAAAAAAAGAATAAAAAAAAAAAGGTAGGTTCGAAACAGTGATAAATATATTCAATTGAATCTTAAAAAGCCGACTGTTCAAAGTTCTAAGTTCCAACCAAAGATGCAAAAAACAACCTTTCAGAATCAGTCAATTAACAATAAACAAGAGCCCATTTTACCGCTAAGATGTGCTCTAAATGGTCTTGGAATATATTTTTGCATATTAACCACGCTATTACTATTATTTGAAATGCAATGCTTTAAGAAACATTATACACGAAAGTGAGACATAAGCATCCATCTTGTTAAAAAGAATATGATGGATCAACTGCAACAGACTCGGCTATCTCTTGTGGCGAAGTCAATAAAAATCTTTATCACAAGGTGAGTCAACTCATGTTCATCCGAAAATAATCTCTTTCGAAGGAGAGTAGCCAGGGACCAAATATAAAACCATGTCAGGTTTATGTAAAGGCAATAAACTGTCTGAATAAAAATCAACAACCAACGCAATTATCGGAAACAATAGAGCAATTACGATCCATGAAACTGATTCAAGTTATTATTTCTCTGATACTTTAGACACACGCCCGTTTACTTGTGAGTCCTTATCTAACCGTCTCAAATCAAGTTCAAAACTCACAGGTAATATTCCAACAGTCGAGTTACCTAAAATGCTGCAAAATTCATGGAGAGTTATGAAAATTAACACTCACTCAAGTTTCTCGAGTGGGCTGCCAACAGGAAACTGCAAAGACCGTCCGCCCCCTCCAGCCGAGCAACAGCCAAAGACCATCCTCACTAACCAAAAACTCCTTATGGTGATATTTCCTCACCCTTTCCATTACCATGCTCGCCAAATCACTCCAGAAAGGGACCATAACAAAACCTGCCCTTACATGACGCACGTGCCACTGCCTATACGTCTCGGGCCTCTCAACTCTATCCGGGCCCTTGCAGGCTATCACGTTCAACACTTCCATCCCGAGCACCCTCTCAATAAGCATTCTCTCTTTATTCTCCCTGGCCGTAGTCATTTCCATCATATCAAACAAAGCCGAGTAATGATACAACACATCACGAAACCGAGTCAAGAAAAATGGATCACTGTAGGCCCCATTGAATACCCCATGCAAGAAGATATCCTCGTTCTGACCGACGAGGATAACGGGTGGCTGTTGATTAGCTGGAAAGGGCGGACACTACTTGCAGTTTCATGCTGGCAATCTGTTTGAGATTTGAGAATTTTATCATGATTTTTCAGCTGAAAAAATAATAAGATAGAACAAAACATTGTTCATTACTTCTTCATGTACCTAGTCTTTTTTTTTTTTTTTGCTTCAAATTAAGTTGCAATGTGAAATTCTCTATCATATTCTCTTAGCAATCTCTAATGGTTCATGGATTGCTCGTCTTTATTGCCACACGTGGCCGCATAATAAATCTTATACAACATTCATAATGTCTAGAAGTCACGTAAAAAAATTTCTAGACATCCTCTATTATAATTTTTATTATTTATTAAATTTATAATTCATTTCAACCATAGTTTTTAAACCCGGCCCGGTAATCGACCCGGGCAGGTCTTCGGGTCACCGGGTCACCGGTTCAACCGCCGGGTCACCGGGTCAATTGCTGAACCGGATAATTAATTTTAAAATTTATAAAATTATATATAGAGTATTTTGTGATATATAAATATACATAAAAATAACAAATTTAAATATTTTGTATGTAAAATTTGTAGATTGAAGTGGTAATAATATGTATATATTTATTATATAAATATATATACATAATTTTATTTTTTAAAAAGAAAAAGAAAATTTAAAAACAAAAAAAAAATTAAAAAATACATATAGACCGGGTCAACCGGGTTGACCCAGCCGGGTCATTGTCCCGGGTCGACCGGGTCAAGGCCGGGTCGACCGGGTTTTGACCGGGTTTGACCGGGTCCGTTGTTGCCCGGTCTAATTAACCCACCCGGACCGGTTCCGGCTCCGGGTCGACCGGGTCCCGGGTCGACCCGCCGGGCCGGTCCGGGTCACAAAACACTGATTTCAACCAATTATTATATTAGACATGTCAAACTGTACAGAACTTGAAATTACACCTTAGTAATCGCAATTTACCATTTTTTATTCAATTCCTTATCTTTAAATTTGGGTATTTATAAATCTGAAAAATTGGACACACACACACACACACAAAAAAAAAAAAAAAAAAAAAAAAAAAAAAAAAAAATCATAGGAAGTCAGTAATTTGATCACAAATTTCTCGGTCCATCTTGTGGAATGAAAAGAGCATCATTAGACCGGCCGATTTTTTATTTTTATTTTTATTTTTTTTTAAAGAGAATTTTTAAAGTCACGCGTATCATTGTGTAGTCACTAGTCAATAGACTCAATACTATAATGAGCTACCCTCTTTTTGATTACTTTTCGGACAGATCAAGCTAATTATTCAACAAAAATTAACACCCATTAACATTCTTTTTGCCATCTTATTTGTCAAAATAATTATGTTAATTTGCAGAAAATCCTTGTTGGGAGACTCACCCACCACCGCCAGGTGTGCGACCCGAGTCGACCAACGGATTAGTCGGGCCATAGCTCCAGATACCGTGTCTGGCTACCAAAAAAAAAATAAATAAATAAATAAATAATTATGTTAAAGCAGATTTATTCATCTCAATTTTACTCTCACTGTATATCCTCTCTAAAGAACACAGTAAAAGTGTTTTTCCTAGGCATCTTCATTGATCAGCCTCACAGAAATTGACACATATAATTACGAACCAGATATTACTACATAGAATCCGAATCACTATAAGTTGACACTTATATTCAGAAAACTCAAAAACATATATATTACTACTCATTATAACGACCAGAGTAATAGACATAACTTCTGAAAAATATTGTACGTTGTTCTTTCTTGTTATTTTTCTCTGAAAGCAGATTGCCAGCAGGAAAATGCAGCGATTGTCCGTTTTTTCCAGCTCATCAACAGCCACCCGTTATCCTCGTCGAACACAAAGTTCCGAGGGAAAATTTTTTTCGCCTTATACGTAACGCTCTCTAACAATTTCCCATCAAACGGGACCTGCGCTAAACCGGCCCTCAAATGACGCGGTCCCCACTTTCTATACGTCTCGGGCCTGTCGACTCTCTCCGGGCCCTCGCAAGCTACAACGTTAAGTATTGCTCTCCCGAACATTCTCTCTATCGTCACCCTATACGGCTGCTCCCGAGGCTCAGTGGTATCCAACATTTCAAAAAAAGCATAGTAGAACAACAGAGAAGACTTGAATCGTGACAAGAACAGCGGCTCACCGTGCCCCGAGCTAAACACTCCATGCACGAAAATGTCCGGGTTAATCTTACTAACAAGCTCAAGAAAACGAGCCCTCGAATTCTTCTTCTCCTCCGCCTCCGTCTCGTTAGGCAGGACCATTGACCGGAATCTACAGTTGACCGCCACGTACTCGCCTTTCTCGATCCTCAAATCCTCGGGCTCGATCGTCTCCCATCTCTTTACAATGGCGTTGAACTCGAACGGGACACGATGAGTTTCTGCGAAACGGGCCAGCCAGCGACCCGTATCCTCGTCCCGACCCGCGACCTGCGCAAGTCGCTGGCCGGGCAGGGGAAAGTCAACAGCTGTGATCCGGAGCTTTGGGGGCCCGCCTTCGCGCTCGGCTAGAGATTGGATGAAGGCAGGCCATTGGAAACCGTAGAAGATGCCGAAATCGATGATGTGGACTCGGCCCGATTGCGCCGATTGGGCCGCTATCGTCTCGTTGGAGGCGAAGTCGACGAGATCCTTGAAGGAGGAAAGAAAGTGGGAGCTCCGGTAGGTTCTAAAGTAGTCAGAGACACTGAACTTGTCTAACATTAGGCTTCCGGTTCCGAACAAACGGGCCTCGAGCGCATTTGCGAAGTAGTAGGCCAACCTTTGATTCCCGTCTCCGAACGGGGACGAGTGCTTTCGGATCTTTTTGAGAATCTCTTTCGACGTGTCGATTTTGCCCAATGCAACAGATTCGGCGCATCTAACTAGACAAGGAATCAAGTTGATCGCTTGTTTCTTCTTCTTCTCCTCCTCCTCCTTCTTCTTCTTCTTACCTTCGGAGCCTTTGCATTCGGGAGTTTGGTTCTCGTGCTCGGTGAGCTCGGTGAGGGTAAAAGTCGAGCCATTGTCGAAATCCTCGGTGGGGAGATTGGACTCGGCACGAATGGTAGGTAGCTTGTTGCTTCTCCTTTCTTCTTCTTCAAGGCTCGTTTCCTCGTCAAGGTGGTTTTTTTTCTTACCTCTTGTTTTTACGACCGTGTTTTCACCTTCGCTTGGAAAAGAGTTACCCGAATGGACGACCCCTGTCCGAAAATCCCAGATTGCTCGGCTGTCGTATAAGTGATCGTCATTCGGTTTGTCGTCACATTGATTGTTATGAATCGACGACTCTTGCTGAGGTGGAGAATGAGGGTATTTTTGGTCGAGTAACTCGTAGAAAGATCTTTCTTTCTCCTTAAAATCGACCGAATCTAGGACATAATGCATCTTCTCCTCCAAATCTTCTTCCATGAGAATCTGATCAATGTATTCGAAAACAATATTTGGAGGATCCATTTTCCTGTCAGCGGCTCAATCCAAACAAAAAATATTAGTGTAAAAAAGTAAATTTGTGCAGTAAAACAAGAGACTGCCAAAACTTTAACAGGGATTAACATACCTCTCTCAATCACAGCAAGCTCAAGTCAAGTGGATGCTGATCAATGAAGAAGCCTAGGAAAAAAAATTACTTCTACAAAATAAAGGTGAGGTGATATATAATTAGTGATCTTATTAATAATGAGATCACTAATCATATGGCGGATGTAGCGGCTTCTGCGCCGTTAAGATTGCACGTTCATATGTCACCACCCCCCGGGTTAGGTGAATGGCTTGACCATGACCTTCGTGGAGTGGCTTACCCTCGACGAGTCCTAGCTTCGTAGTTTGGGCCTTCGGCCTCCTTCTTTGTACCAAAAAAAAAAATAATAATAATAATGAGATCACTAATCATATCTATTAAAATCGAATCGAATTCTTCTTTGAATTTGGTTACTGTACAAGTCTACGATCAAGGCACTTGACTTGAAATAAGGTTCTTCCTATTCTATTCTTTTTAATTGAATTAATTAATTAAAATATCAATAGGAGGTTAATTTATGGTAAAAAAATGTCAAAATGAGGTCTATTCATTAATTCAATCGCAGATAAAATATTTATCAAGTCATGCGTATGAAAGGAGTCAATGCTCAATTTGAGTGACCTTATTTGCTTTTCATTCACATAAATCAAGCAAATTAATGATTCAATTAGCTTGGGACTTGGGATTTCGACAGGTTGTAGCCGAGGTTGACAGTCTATGTGTGACGGAAATGATTCTTGGGGCTGAGGGTGCCTATGATTCTCTAGCTCGAGCAATTCGCATTTTGGTGCATCGCAACTGGAGCATTCAGATTAAGCACGTGCATAGGAAAGTTAACTTCGCGGCAGACATTGGCGACTCTAGCGACTTCGGCCCCGTTAGGCTTACAACGGATCTCGACCCCCCCCCCCCCCNAAGGGTTGGATGCATGACTTGATCACGATATCAGTGGGGTGTCTTACCCAGTTCTAGCTTAGTTTCTTAGGCCTTTGGCCTCCTTCTATGTACCAAAAAAAAAAAAAATGTTTTGCTTTGTTGTTTTATTCAAAAATTTTATTTGTTTGGGGCAATATAAATTAATAATTTTTTAATGATCTTGATTGATATACATGGTTTTTTTTAATATTATGATTAAAAAAGTAAAATTTGATTGGAGTATAAAAAATTAGTAAAATTTGTTTTAATAATAAAAATTGTGAAAAACAAATAAAAACATTAATAAAAGAATTTAAATGGAGTAATATTCATTATAACTATTACTTGGTGAAATAATATAGTTAAATATTAATATAGTTAAATATCATAATTAAAATTATAGTATTTGATAATAATCGAAATATATAGTTTATCTAAACATTTAAATTAGATATTAATACACTCATTATATATGTTGAATAAACTTACTACATATATAACTATAGACGAAAAATTTAAAAATAAAAATATAGTTTACTATGAAAAAAATTCTTGCATAAGCGATTAAAGTTATTAATTACTACATGAATTTAAATTTAATTATCAAATAATTAATATTTTATGCATCTAAAACTATAATAATGGAAAATAAATTTTACGGGTTATAACATTATATAGCTATCGAGCAATATGCAAAATATGAATTGTTGAAAAAGTTATAATATCAAGATAATCAGTAATTTTACAAGTGTATGTAAACAATTTGTATACAAACATCATATTTAAATTTTTTTTTTTTTTTGGTACAAAAAAGGATGCCACGAGGCTTAAGCTAGTACTCTACGAGGGTACGACACCCCGATATTATCATGGTCCAACCAGGCACCTAGCCCCACAGGCGGGGTTTGCACACGATGTAACCCAGGGTGAAGATGCCGCTAAACTTGCCATTGCATCCGCAACAAAGTTATTTTAACGCTCCATTCCCTAAAGAGCAGCTCCCGAATGGCCCAAACAAGTGCATCATGAGGTCCTATCTCGCCACTCGTCTCGCCTACCATGGTCTTCACACAAAGGCAATCAATTTCAGCCACAACTCGTCATATTTAAAATCTAGATATTGATACAATTTTATAAATTTATAAATTGTAATATTTCATATATTAAATAGTCAAAACATGTACAAATAAATTAAAAAAGATTTTCAAACAAAATTTCTATTATTATTGACTTTATATATTGAGTCAGATATAATTACCATGTTATCTAAAATAAATTAACAATATTTAAATAATAAAATATTAATTTATAATACCCGTGCATCGCACGGATATCAACACTAGTAATCTAAACAAAAAAAAAAAAAAAAAGTTAATTGTACGTAATTTAAAAATGGCTATGGAGTCAAGTAGACAGTAAAGCAATACAGGATTCCCAATTTTTCAGGAAAAAATTGGATTCCATATCAGCCTTCAAAAAGTTTGGCTCCCAATAATAAAAGTAGAAAAGTTAGATGCATTTTTAAAATGAAATATTCCTCGGTAACCCATCAATGAGAAATTGATCACAAGACAAGATAATATTCAAAAAGTAAGATGTGAAATTCAATTCAATGGTGAGGATTTGTAGAAAGGATTCTAACATTCATATTTGTATTTGAAATTCCTCACACAATAATTTGAAATTAGTAGTTTCAATGAGAAATAAGGAATTTGAAATTTTGTCAAGAGAACAAGCTCAATTGACCCTGACTCGTGATTTTGAATTTGAAGCCGGGGTGTTTTTAGAAAGTGAAAAGCAGACTCTACAAGCGCTTTTCGGACACTTGAAGAAACGGCCCGGCCCGTCGGTTCTGAGCCTGAATTGGCGGGTCTACGGGCCAATTATTGTGGAACCAGAACAGTCCCAGAAGAAGCCCCGGGCCAATCCATAAAACCGGCAATCCCGACCAAACAAAAATATCGGTTCGAGCTCTGCTCGTTTAAGCTTGTGAAATCTCGACTCTGTTCGTTTACCTAAACGATATTTTCGCGAATACTTATTTGTTCGCGGACAAGTTCAGGTCAACTGCTTTATGTAAAAATCATAATAATAAATAAATAAGTTGTTCGTGAACAAGCTCGACTAGTTTCATAACAAGCTCGATCAACTATTTGGGTCTGACTAGTTTGTGTAGTTCAAATAGACAAATTAACAAGCCAAACTCAGACTTTTTTCACGTGTCAAACCGAGATGTATTCGAGAACAACTCAGTTCATATAACAGTTCAACACATGCGCATGCATGTAAAGTTATGTGGTATCCACTGCTTTTAGACCCAAACCGAGACCAGACTTGTGTGTTTTTTGGGCAGGCCGATTTCAAGCCTATATAAAAGAATTACGACCCGTTGTTTGCAAGTTGGGCCGGGCCGAAACCTGAACCAACGGGTCCGCCTCTAAAATTCAAAAAATTTCATCTGATTTTGAATTAAAATTCGGCTGATTTCCGAGCAAATTTCGTTTCCAATAATATATTAGTCTCGACGGCCCTTCGTGCAGTGTCGCATGGACATGTTTGCAACCAAGCGCTTCCTCTAAAATCAACAACTTGATTGGTCTAGGTGCAGCGTGGTAAACTCAATAAACTATATATTCTTATTTCAAAATCAAACAATGAACGTCATAGAAGAAGAGTGTTTTAAATAAGGATCTCAAAACTTAAAGAGGATGTTTGGATACAAATCTACTCTAAAAAATCTAAACATTTTTAACTCAACTATTTTTTCTAACCCAACTTCATTATCATCAGTATTATCAATATTAACTAATCATTCTCACACATCACATCAACATTAATTCACTATTCATCAATTCACATAATCTTAACTAACAATCACTTTAAATCATATCTTTTCTACTTTTACATCAAATTAACTTTAATTATTTTATTTTCAATATTAATTTAATATATTCACTAACAACTAATATTACCAACATTTTTCCAAATTAACCAAATCAAACCAAAAAAAAAAATCAATCAAATAAAATAATTATATCCAAGACTAACTTGTCCATTAAGCCAAAACTAATAAATATCAAATAATAATAATAATAATAATATATGAAATGGTAATAATAATATTAAACTCTATTATGCATCAATCTACCTCACTATTATTCAACTAATATCGATTCTTCGGATGTTCACATGGAACCTTCCATTCACCGAACCCCCACTAATGTCACAGCCTCCGTTGACTTCACATGTGGGGAGGTACGCTTAATTTTCTTTGAACCCATTATTCATAAATCATTTATTTTTAAATCTCTCGTTTGTGTTCTTATTGATTTTCTGTGGTTTTTCCTTGCTAACTGCTATTCATTTATTTATTTATTTTGTAAGAATTCTTGGGAGTGAGAGCACTGAAATCTAACCACATTCATCCTCTTGAATAGGTTACTACACAAAAGATGGACCCACATTTTCCGGGGCCCTTCAGTTCTTCAGACGAATTCCAGCCGGAAAATCAGTTCCCCGGTCGAAAACATTCCGGCAGCCCATCAGTCGATATCAGCTGTCTGAATCATAAGTTAGCTCACGGGCATTCGTTCCAAGAACGGAGACATGAAGAGCCACATTTTCCAGGTTCTAAAACTTCCACCGACTTATTTGTCGATAGAGCCGAGGATGAAGATAACGATGATCATCGATATTTTTCGGACAGCGTTTTGAGGTACATTGATCAGATGCTCATGGAGGAGGAGGATTTGGAGGATAATATCCACATGCTTCACGAGTCTCTCGATTTTCGGTCCAAAGAACGATCTTTTTACGAGCTGCTCGGACAAAAATACCCTCCGTCCCCGGACAGTCGATATGTCGAAACACCTCACAACAATCAGTACTCTAGTGATGATGTGGCGAAAAGCCCGGCTCGGTTCGAAAGTACTCTCACGAATTCCGAACCCTTCTCGCCATCTTCCGACGCGAGTCGAGCCATTTGGAGCTTTAGAAAGGGATTTGTCGTTGCTAGCAAGTTCCTCCTCGGCAAAAATGACGATCGACCCGGCGAAATTAGTGGCTCAGGCGCGGGAAGAACGAATCCCGAAGCCATGGGAAAGAAGAATATAAACCGCCACGCGGACAAAAATGACCTCGAGGAGCATAGGAGAAGAACCAAAATCCCGGCAATTTACGACGCGGATTCCGATGATGTTCCCGTGGAGGAATTCGACAACCTTTTGCTCTTCACGCGCGGCGAAAGCGAACGGAAATTCTTTGCCTATAGAGAGGAGCTCAAGCACGCGGGTAGCAAAAACGAGCTTCCGAACCAGAGGTCGAAGAAAAAGAAGAAGAAGAAGAAGAAGAAAGAAGAAGATGAAAAATTGGTCGACCTGAGGACCCTCCTAATCGGGTGCGCGAAGTCCATTGCCGCAGACGATTGGGCCACCGCGAAAGAGCTGCTCGAGCAAGTCCGGTCCCACTCGTCGCCACATGGCAACGGGGACCAGCGGTTGGGCCACTATTTTGCCGACGGGCTCGAGGCCCGACTGACCGGTACCGGCAGCGAGGCCCAAAAGTCCCTCATCGGGAAACGGGCCACGGCCTCCAGCTTCCTCCGAGCCTACTACACGTACCTAGCCTCGGCACCTTTCGTCATACTCTCCAGCTTCCTCGCGGGCAAGACGATACAATTCAAATCGGAGAAAGCCGCGCAGATCCACGTCATCGATTTCGGCATAATGTACGGTTTCCAGTGGCCCACTTTCATCCAGCGAGTAGTTGAGCAGGCAGGTGGGCCCCCGAGTCGGATCCGGATCACGGGCATCGACTTCCCTCAGCCGGGCTTTCGACCCGCGGAGCGGGTCGAAGAAACGGGCCGACGGCTGGCCCGTTACGCGGAGATGTTCGGCGTCCCGTTTGAGTACCGGGCCATAGCGCGAAAATGGGAGACTATAAAACCGGAAGATTTCGAAATCGAGGAAGGGGAGTACGTGGTGGTTAGTTGCATGTATCGGGCGGGGAATCTCATGGACGAGACATTCGCCGGGGAAAGCCCGAGGGACGCGGTGTTGGGCCTTGTGAGGAGGGTAAAACCGGAATTTTTCGTGCACGGGGTGGTGAACGGGATTTACGGGGCCCCCTTTTTTGTGACCCGGTTCAGGGAGGCTCTGTTTAGCTACTCGTCGATTTTCGATATGTTGGAGACAAGCATACCGAGGGAGAATACCGACCGGTTGCTTCTCGAGAGGGACGTGTTCGGAAAGGAGGTTATGAATGTGGTAGCGTGTGAGGGATGGGAGAGAATCGAGAGGCCCGAAACGTACAAGCAATGGCATGTGAGACATTTGCGGGCCGGGTTGGAGCAAGTGGAGTTCGACAGGAGGTTGGTGGATAGCGCGGTTTCGAAGCTGAGTAGATACTACCATCGGGAGTTTGTGGTGGACGAGGATAACCAGTGGCTTTTGATGGGATGGAAAGAGCGAATACTTTACGCGTTATCATGTTGGAAACCGGCTTGAGAAATTTAGCATTGTTTCTGCTTCGCTTGGGCACTTGTAGACTTGTAATTTTTCGGCTCAGTTAGGGTCTGCATTATATACAGGTCGGGGATCAGGCTTAATCTTTCGCCCTTTTCTGGGGTGTTTTTTCGTTAAAAATAAATAAATAAAATATTTAATTTTATAGAAATATATATATATAAATATATATATATATATAATTTTTTATTTTTTTTTGTAGAATTTTGTGATGTTGATTTTATTATAAGGTCATTGATGGTTTGTTTTTGTGTGTGGTGACATTGTTTGCAGGTCAATAACTAGTGCATATAATTGCAGAAACCCAAAAAAAAAAATGATTCTTATAGCGCCTTATATTTATTAGTATTTAACTTTCTGGACAGAAAGTTTTATAATTTTAAAAGTTTTAATAGATATAAATAAAAGTCCAAATGTATATGATTATCCTCAGCATCATGATTTCCTCTTTATATACTTCTTATTTTTAATTTCCTCTTCAACACGAATCCTCATTATCTCCTACCAAGAAGACAGGCTTCAATCATAAGCCCATTACTTGGGCCTCTTAGGATATAACTATCAACAGCCCATTATTTCGGCCCATGTTTGGAAAGCATTCAGTCAAATAGCCCAAGACAAGATTTTGACTACTTAAGTCCAAATTCGCCGGTCAACTAAGCAGCCACGTCCCTCCACTACTCATGTAACAGAATTCCAGTTAGTCCTTCACAATAAATTTTGCCCACATTCAATTTTATATTTAATTTTGTTATTATTTATATCTACCCACAAACTTTAGTAACCGTCCACGTTCCATTTTTCCACATATAATTCCTCAATTTGATCTCTATATTTCATCAATTGAACTATTAGTTAACTCCAATTTGTCTTTGTAAAGTATTTGTGAAGAAAAAAATGGAAGCACAGGAAGAATGTACAACCCCTAAGAGCCACGAGCACCGGATTCCGGCGGCACTCGTCTGCCCTCCGCCGCCGAGAAAGAAAAACGGGCGGCGGACGAGACGGCCGGAGCCGGAAAACGGGTATTTCCAGTCGCCGGAGGTCGAAAAAGTTTCTAAATCCGGCTGGTCGGAGCAGAGGCGATTGGGCTGAGGATTAAAAAGAAAGATATGAGAAGGAAATTAAGTCTTGCTCTTTTGGCATGCATGGGAATTTTACATTTTTCAATCCTTTTTTTTTTTAATTATGTGTTTTTTATTGTTAGTTGATTTTAGAAGTTTGATTTTTATTAACACGAATTTTGCATGTATATATTTGCATCTCTCTCAAAGTTTAGAAGTTTTGATTATGTTCCTGCAATTTAATTTCTTTTTATTATATTGTTATTGTTCGAAGCCCAACACTCGGAGCCCATGTTGAAGAGCCCAGCGAAAGGATTCACGTGATGAGCCCAATACTTCAATAAATGAGATAGACTAAAAGTTTACTAGGCCTCAGCCCCTTTGTAGATTTACTAACTGAATGAGTTGAACTTGAGCATTTCGATCGTGCTAGTATTTTATACTAGCATTCGAACACAGTTCGTGTGTGCTCTTTATTCAAGCAAAGTTCTTGGTCAAGTTCGTTCGTTTAATTATTCTTCAAATTATATGTTCGTCTGTATTCAAGTAATTTATAAAATAAACTTGAAATATATAATTCATTCGAAAATAATTTACATACTTTAGAATCCAATTTTATTCAAAATATCATATATATAAATCTTTAATTAAAATAATGTTTGCGGATGTTACCTAACGTTAGTTCAAATAATAAACGGTCTTTTCTTTCGTTCAAATTCGGCTCAATTAACAAATGAACAGCCTTTTAGCGAACACAAACGAACTCGAAAATGTTAGGTCCGTTGAAAGCATGTATTAACCAAGGTGGTACCAATCAATAATGTCAAAACTCCAAAAAAAAATATATATATATATATATATATATATATTATTTAGCCTTAAAAAGGAAAAAGTTTAAAAAAAAAAAAACAATTTCTAAATCATAAATACATGTAGGTCGTTCACATATGTGTGACAAAATCAGTTGAAGAGTGGTTGAATTTATTTAGTACTTTGTGAGCAGTCAACCTTCTCTCTTCAATGTGCTTCTCATGCACCCATATTTTTTTACCTGTAATAATCAGTCCATAAAGCAATAATAATGATTAATTAACAAAAAACAAAAAACAAAAAACAAAAAAAAAAATGCTTGTAAAGTAAAAATGCAAATTCAATTAAAATCAGCTAATAGAAGTATAATTATGCTATTTAATTATAAAATATGATATTTTTCTAATAGAAGTATAAATATAATTATAGAAATAGCATAAACATAAACAACATAATTTTATGATATTTTATAAAAATATGATATTTTCTAATAGAAGTATAATTATAATTATAGAAATAATATATGTCAGGCTTAATTAATGATTAGGTCAACCTAAAAAATACTACCAATAAAAACTAGTACGTAACCCGTGCGATGCACGGACTGTATTTATTTTAGAGAATATTATAATTTGAAGTGTATTAATAAACAAAATAGTGATATTACGTAGGTAAATTGTGAAATCATAAAATATTTATCATAAAAAAAATATTATTAAGAACCTCATTGTACACTATTATTAATTTGATTACTTGGCAACTTGTTGTCCCCAAAATCTAACATTTTAAACTCATTTCTATTATATTTTAAACTCATTTCTATTACTTCCATGCGAAACAACAACATATAATAGGCGTGACTAAACACTAATTTATTTAAGAAAGAGGTCAAAATACGATAAAATCTGACGCTGATTTTTATTTATTGTAATGACATGTAAATCTATAAGTAAGAACAAATGCCGTTGGAACTTAAATGAAACTCTAAGATCAGAATGATCTACTTATAATATGATAATTTACCTAACAGTTCGACAATGAGTTGTTAGTTTATCATTTTAATATCGATTATAATTAACGAAATAATATTTATCATTATTTTTATAGTTTTATATTTCATATAAAATGACATTAAACATGTATAATTAAAATATTAAAAACACCTAAAATATTATATAACATGTGTAATTAGACATTAATTCACATCAATTTTTTTGAATCGAACAATTTTTAATTGGACCACTTCCCTATTATATTATATGTATGAATATTTTTTATGTAGTAGAATATATATATATATATATATATATAGTTTTTGTCTAGCAGATTTATATTTTTATTAATACAATCAATAGAAAATCGATTTCCTATACAAAATTTCAAATACTTTGTTTTAAAAACAATAGTAAAAAATAATATAAAATGAAGATTTGTATATATCTCACATAAAAGGGAATATATATATATATATATATATATATATATATATATATCATAATAAATCGTTTATTTTCAGAATTTGCTACAATGAATAAACCAATTTGAATGTTACTATAAAATTATATTTTGTGTATATATATGGCAACCTAAATCATTGAATCTAATAAATATGATGAAATAAAAAAGGAATCTTCCATAAATGAGAATTCTAAAATTGGCGCCATATAAATTTGAATATTACTATAAAATTATATTTTGTGTATATAGCATATATGCTAATCCAAATTAATGATTTTAATTAAAATAAAAAAGAATCCCCCATAAATGAAGATTCCACAATAAGCTACATAATTATGTACAGGAAAACAGCTACATAAATCAATATTCCAAAATAACTTTTACCTACAAAATAACTATTAACTTAATTAAAGGAAACATATAATTGTCTAAAATAAACACAGAATGAAATCTGAGTTATATGAAAACTATGCAATTAATGATTTATTTTTTATTTAAATAGTATTATATTATTTTCATCTATAGTAAGTAATTAATACTGAATATTACTATAAATGATTTAAGTTAATCCTTATTATATATTAATAGATTATTATTATTATTATTATTATTATTATTATATATGAACATAAATTTATATTTTGTAATTGTTGGTTCTAATAAATATGATAAAATAATAAAAAAATCCTCACAAATGAGAATTTTAAAATTGACGTCATGTAAATTTAAATATTCCTGAATTTTTTTTTTTTTTTTTTTTTTGTGTGTGTATGTAACATATATGCTAATCCAAATTAATGATTCTAATAAATCTGTTAAAATAAAAAAGAATCCTTGATAAATAAGAGTTCCAAAATCGGCTACATATAATTATTTACATATTCTTTGCCTACAAAACCACTATCAACATAATTAAAGAAAACCAAGAATTTATTGAAACAAACACAAACCGAAGTATTAAATATGCGTAGAATATTGTGTGATAATCAACTGATTTAAATAATAACATTGTTTTCCTTACATAAAGATATCAAAGTATTAAATGAATAATATATTTTCTAATTGAATATCCCAAGGCAAGAGATTCTAAATTTCATATTGATATGGACCTACAAAAAGAGGATATTGTTTTGGATTTCCATTCCATATCATAAAAGGAAACAAAAATCGGAAAAAAATATTTAATATAATTAGGCAATGATTAATGAAAATTTTTTAAGTTACTATTTTTAGGCTATAATTAATGAATTTGGTGGGAAAAGATTACTAAAAGTGAATTATGTTAATCCTTATTATATATTAATAGATGTAAACAACACCAAACCCTCTCTGCATTTAGACCTTTTCATGTATTTATTAAATTATTCCATTTTTTTTTTCTCTTGTATGTATGTGTCTCTATATAAAGCACACTCTCTGATCTCTATCTCTATCCCTTTTTTTTATCCTTGTTTGTTGTCAGGGATAGATAAATTAATCAAGAAATGTATAGGCTAATCACAGGGATTCCAGGGCCAAGTGGATTTGGATCTGCTTCAACTGCTGAGCAAGTTACTCAAGGGATTGATGCTTCCAATTTGACTGCCATAATTACAGGTTCAATGCTTCTTTTTTTTTATTTAATTTTAACAATTATTGTACCTTTTACATTGTTTTGAGGGTAATTGAAATTCAATTATCTAATTTATCCAATTATGTAATTTAAATGTTGGTTACTTAAATATGAAAAACCAAATGAAAAATGTTGCTACTGTTACACTGCAGGTGGAGCAAGTGGAATTGGCCTTGAGACAGCAAAAGTATTAGCTCTAAGAAATGCTCATGTCATTATTGCAGCAAGAAATTTAGAGGGTGCAAATGAAGCAAAACGAACGATTCTCAACGACAAAGCTAATGCCCGAGTCGATGTCTTGAAGCTCGACCTTGCCTCGTTCGACTCAATATCTAATTTTGCCGATAACTTCCTTGCTCTCGATTTTCCTCTCAACATCTTAATGTAGATTATATTGAATCCTCACTCTCCATTTTCATTTAAATAATTGTGGTCTTGTTTGAAATATAACAATCACGTACAGAGCAAAATTTGTAAATGTTATGAAATTTATCGTTTATCCTCGTTTTTAAATTTCAGAAACAATGCCGGTATCATGTTTTGTCCTTTTCAACTCTCGCAAGATGGCATCGAGATGCAATTTGCGACTAATCATCTTGGTACGTCTTTCTTTTTTTTCGGTTACATTATGAATTTCTTGTGATCAATGTACATAATCCTTAATCTCACTGCACTTTTCTTTCATATATTTTTGGTAAATGTTTTTGCTAGGCCACTTCTACTTGACAAACCTACTGCTCGACAAGATGAAGGACACGGCGAAATCTACGGGCATCGAGGGTAGAATCGTAAATTTGTCATCGGTAGCACATCTTCATACGTACGAAGAAGGGATCAAATTTGATCAGATTAATGATGAATGCAGGTAAAGCTTTTGTTAAATTATGTAACAGAGTAGAACATTTTAATATTTTATCACCCTTTGATTAAAAAAATCAATCTTTTTTTTTTCTTTTTATTTGAATTATTGGTTTTTTTATGACAGTTATGATGATAAAAAAGCATATGGGCAGTCCAAACTGGCCAATCTATTGCATGCCAATGAACTTTCACGGCGCCTGCAGGTAACTAACTATTCGACTCGTGCTCGTATGACGATTTGTTGAATTAATAAGTATTTTTTACTTCGGTAAGATCATAACAAGTTGTCTAACTTGTATATTGAGCTTGGTTTTCAGAAGGAAGGAGTTAATATTACGGTGAACTCGGTGCATCCAGGGCTTATAAACACGGATCTTTTTCGATATTCTGGATTTCTAGTTAGTAAGTGACGGTTATATTAAATATCTCTTTCGAATATCCTCTGACAAATTTTGCTCATTCTCCCGTTTCTTTTTCATGCAATAACTTAAATTTTTTTGATGCAGAGATCTTGAGGCTTGCCACTTGGTTACTGTGGAAAAACATCCCTCAGGTAATAATTATAGAATGAGAAGAAATTTAAAAAACAATATATAAATAAATAATTCAACTTAGACTCTAACTTGGTCTGGTGTCGATTTCTCCAGGGGGCAGCCACGACGTGCTATGCTGCTCTGCACCCGAGCTTGAAAGGCGAAACAGGAAAGTATTTTGTAGACTGCAACGAATTCAAGCTTAGCAGATTCGCGAGAAACGAGGATTTGGCCAAGAGGCTCTGGGATTTTAGCTGCAGCTTGGTTCATGCAGCTAAAAGAAAGTGAAATTGCTTTGTTGGCCTATGGAAAGTCTAGTGATCTCATGTTCAGAGACAAACTGTGTTCTGCAATTTTCTATTTAGTATTTTACTGGGAAAAAAAAAAAAAAAAAA